CTGTTTTCTGGAATGGCTGTATTAATTCATGTTCTCACCAACAATGTGTAAGAGTTTCGCTTTCTTTGTGGAGGTCTTTACTCCATTTTCATTGCTATCAGCCTTTCTCCTTCTTTTAACAGTTGTATTACATTCCATTGTATGAGCTTAATATCATTTAATTTTTTTCGTAATAAATTTTTCCCCAATTTTTATTTGGAAAAATTCTAAACCTTCAGAAAAGTTGTAAGAATAGTATAAGAAGTACCCATGTACTCTTCACCTAGATTCACCAAATATTAACATGTTGCCATATTTGCTTTCTTTCACTCTCTGGACCATTTGTGAGTTGTCCGTAGACATCATGACAACTTCATCTTGAAGACATGTCCCTCTGAAGAACCAGGACACTCTACTTCATAACATTATAAAAATATAATAATTGCACTCAGGAAATTTAACATTATCACAAGACTATAATCTATATGACATGTTCAAATCCTCCAAAGAACAATTCAGAGTGCAGACACATCTCCCCAACGAGCTGGTACACCAAGCACAGTCATGCTTAGCCGCATCTCTGGCAAAAACCCAGTGAGACAGCCACAGGCCTGAGATGTCTTACTCTGCACAGTACTGTCCCCTACCTCTGTCCCACGGTCTAAGATGCCCTATCTACTGGGGAAGGATTCAGTATGCAGCTCATTCCATTTGAGAGATGAGATGCTTATCTAAAAATCTACTGTTTAAGAAAAAAATAGTAACAAACAACAATGCTGCTCAAATTTCAGGGAAAAAAACAACACAGAAACACAGAACACAACCTTTCCCCCCAATTTTCTTCTAGGATGTCCTGATAAAACCTTCCTGAGGGTATTTGTCAAGCAAATTAGGGAAAGGCAGGTCCCTGAACACACCCACCCACTCCCTGCCCAGCCCACTGGCAGGGCAGTGACTCACCTCTAGGATCTCTGTCTCAGAGATGGTGCCTCTGAAAGACGCCTTTGTAACCTCATGACTGGACAAAGATGAACTTCTAATGTAAATGTCAACTCATGCCAATTCATCTACCAGTTACAATTTTTTAAAAGGTTTCCTATTACACAGTTCCAAGCAAGTATCTGCTTGGGCCAGTGTTTCTCAGAATGTGGTCCATAGACCACACATATCAGCATCAGGTGTGGATATAGTTTGAGGTGTCAGTTCCCAGGCTTCATCTTGGGCCTACTGACTCAGGATTTCTGGGGTTGGGGCCTGGGAATCTGAATTTTTTAAAGCACCCAGGTTATTCCAAAGCACATTTATCATTGAGAACCACTGAGCTAGGCTTTAATCTGAGATTAAATAAAGCTTGGAAAAAATCTGTAGAACGAGAATCAAATATCAAGAACTGACTTATACTGTTATCTATGGCAGTGGCCTGTAAACATTCTGACCATAATCTTTACAAAGAAATATATTATACATCATGATGTAGTACACACATGGGTGTGCGCACACACACACACTGAAATTAAAGTTTTGTGAAACAATATTTATTCTTATACCTATGATTCACTCTGATATTTTCTACTGTTTCTATTTCATTTTTTAAAAACACTGGCCATAACCCACTAAATTGATTTCACAACACACTAATGAATCACTAACGAGTTTGCAAAAGAATGATCTATAGCAATCAACTGCAGTATAAAGCTCCATTGAGTAAGCATAAACCTAGGCGGAGAGAGTGTAAAACACTAGTTATTAAATAAGATGTTTTTTAGATATTCTTAAAATATATGCATTTAGCTGAATTTAGATCAGTTCAATCACAATACTAATCTCCAAATGAAATAAATTTCATTTAGTCTTCTTACAAATCTTATTAACATCAACTAGTAATTCAGGGTTTTGGGATGGGGCAAATTGAAGTGAAAATTCGGTGCTATGTTAAGACTGTGAGTCCTGGAACTTAACAGATGAGGTTCAGATCCTGGCTCTCCCATGCACCAGAGACGACAGCCTGAGGAACAACCCCAAGCCTCAGTCTCCTTGCCCTTGAAATGGGGATAATAATAGCATATATCGCAAAAGGTTGTTGTAAACACTAAATAAGATAATTCATGCAAATAATAATAGCAGTTATTATTATTGTTCAAGAATAAGATGCCTTTAAACAAAAGTTTTAGCACCTTAAAATAATGCAAAAAAAGATATTTAAATAAGGTCTCATATAGAAATATACATGTAAATTACTATCTGCACAAATATACTATTCACTTGACATTATCTTTCTCTTTATGAACAAACTTTGGTCGTTTTCTGTGTAAGGTGCTGTGCTAAGTGTTGGAAGCATGAGACGTAGTACCACTTACTGAGCAGCTTACAATCCAGTTGCAAAGTTAGGACAACAGGAAGACATATGAATCACCAAATCACACGCCAAGTGCCAAATGCAAGATGTGCTGAAAGTGAGCATAGTCAGAGCTCAGAGAGGAAAGGACCAGTGTCAGAAAGAGCTCCCGAGGTGGCGACTTGGGTGAAGAGGGAAGAGTGGGGAGGTGTGGAAGCTGGAAGGAATCCCAAGAAGAGGAGAGTAAGGGGGAATGAAGACAAAGGGGTAAACCATGCCCTGGTCTGGCTGGGAGGCAGTAAGTCATAAGGACAAGCTTCGAAGGAGGAGCCAGTTTGGGTACCAGGCTACGGCAACGGTGATGCAGACAGATTCATCTGGAGTCAACTCAGGCCAGCTGCAGAGGTCTGGGCATTCCTATGAGAGGTGGCCTGACCAAAGCAACACCATGAGAGGGGCCAGGAGATGTCCTCAAGCATCAGTGACATGAACACTACAGATATCACCAGTAAACAGAATGAGGATATCAACACAGAAAAATGGGATTCCAATGAACTTTGTCAAAGTGTACGTGGCATTACATGAAAGCACCAATCAACTCAGTCTCTAGCATGAATTTCTCTGTATGGTATAGACTGATCTCTGATGTTTTCCAAGGTTTTAGGCAAACCGTCCCTACTATTCAAATTATTTTACTTTCTTTGTTCAGATTCTATGTATTTTTGCTCACCAGGCCACCTTCTGGTTGAGAATTCAGCTTGCCAGCTAAATTGATATGGAGAAGGATGCCTTGATAAAAGTAATTAAACATTCTGGTCACTAAAAACTAGCCGCTTACTTATCCATCAGACTGGTAAAAATTTGATTATGTGTAACCATCAGCAAATGTCTGGTCATTCTTTGATATGTTGGAAAGATGCCAGGCCCAATAGAACGGAGACTGTCAATCCTGGTTGCACTTTAGAGACACCTGGAGAGCAGCTTAAAATACCCTGGAATGGGGCTGCTGTCGAGGGACATGCACTTTAGAGACACCTGGAGAGCAGCTTAAAATACCCTGGAATGGGGCTGCTGTCGAGGGGCTGCTGAGGGACAGCCCCTGAATAAACCAGCACCCTCTCGTGCAATGGTTCTCAGTCCTGACTGCCTGGGTGGAATCACTGGGGAAACTTACACAAACCTATGTCCAGGAATGGATGCTGGTGAGCAAACTTTTCCCATAGAGGGCCAGATGGTAAGTAGCTTAGGCCTTGTGAGTCACACAGTCTTTGTTGAAACTATTCAACTCTGCAGCTGTAGCACAAAAGCAGCCATAAATAACATGTAAACAAACAGGTGTGCCTGCATTCCAATAAAACTTTATTTACAAACACAGGTGGCAGACAATATTTGGCCAGTGAGCCGTTCACTGACTCCTACTGTACAATGTTGGAATAATTATAACTAGCATTCTGATCTTGTGTCATTAATACAAAGCTAGAGCAAAGTGTGAAAATAAATACAAAAACTGCTCAGTCTTGGAATCTTATCCTTCAGCTGTCATCCTATTATCATTTGCCAGACACTCAATGCAGAGAGCCATGTTTACATCTAAGACGTCTGAACCTGTTCAGACTGTATCTGCCACTGAGCACTATCGAGCACCTTCAAAGCGTCGCTTCGGTGGAAACTACCCACCTGATTGCTCAGCTGAAGCCCTGCCCACCTAAGGGGAGCTTGGCAGTACCATTCTGGTTTCTTCATTGGTAGAAGATGCCATAGGGGTGGGTTTAAAATTTATTTTGATAGGAAACAATAACCTGTCTATGCTGCTTTTGAGTACATGTATTCTCCACGCAACTGATCAGCTAGGTATAAATGTACCATCTTAGGTCTACAGTTTTTTTTTTTTTTTTTGTCTTTTTGTCTTTTTCCGTGTCCGGCAACGGATCACAACCCTCAGTGTTGCCCCCGTACCGGACCGGGGACCGGCAACGGGATCGCAACCCTTGGCGTTGCTCCCGTGCCTCGCTCAGCCAGTGAGCGGGAACTGGTCTGTATGTGGGATCCGAACCCTTGGGCGGGAGCGCCGCCGCGCTTCCCAAGCGGCGCACTATCCAGTGCGCCACCGGGCCGGCCCGGTCTACAGTTTTTGATTAAATCGTTTCTGTTCAACTGGGTAGGTTGAATCAAGGATCTTGTCTCAGCCCTCACTTCTGACTTCCCCCAATGTCTCGAATGCATAATGACTGAAAGCCAAAAGGCTGAGACTGTTTGCTAAGTGGATGAGATCTGAGCACGAATGTCACTCTTGGCCCTCAAGCTGTGGCGAGCCAGAGCTTACTGCACAGCTGTGCTGTCCCTAACGCCCACCCTGTGACGCACAGTCCCGGATGCCACAGTGTTAGAGCGCTTACATCCAGTCGCGCAGAAGCTCAGAAAAGCCCATGTTCCCCGTCCTTGCTGCTCAGGGCAGTTTCTCTCCATTGTCAAAGTTATCACCCTGCACAATGAAGACCAGTGTCAGACAGGGTGGTCTCCTGGGGACGGAGGGCATAAACTTCCCCGTACACACAGCCAGCAATCAGTCAGTCTCCCAGTCTGCCCACAGTGTTAAGGAAAATAAAACTAAGATATTTCTGACTTGGATGTGCACTTGTGAGTCCAGTTACCATGATGCCTTATTACGGCTCCATTCTGTACTCACCTGGAAGTGTTTTCAAGTATTCCTTTGACTTCATTCATTTCTTCTTTCCCAAAGTAAACAACAGTGAGATGAATCCTCCCATCCTGTTGGATGCACATCTCTCTGGAAAACAAAGCACAAGTATGTCTGGTTCCTATTTTCATGTTAACAGGCAAGGTACAAACACACACTTTTCCTGTAAAGTGCAAAAGGGACTTGCAGTGAACCAAGTAAACTGCCAGGAGAGCAGAGATGGGATCTAAGACATTTCTGGTTGGCCATCCCAATGGCCTGTACCTGTATGTATCTTTGCAAAAGGGACTTGCAGTGAACCAAGTAAACTGCCAGGAGAGCAGAGATGGGATCTAAGACCTTTCTGGTTGGCCATCCCAATGGCCTGTACCTGTACGTATCTGATCAGGAGAACACTGAAATTTAAACATGCCGATCTGGTTGGTTACAACTCAGAGGCAAGGCACCCTTGATTCATTGGGGCCCTGCAGTGTCATGGAAATGACACCAGATTCTCACTCCCATAAGAAGTCTATGAAATACCAAAGATACAGATTCCGTTTTGCAGGTGAGAAAGCTAAAGTCCAGAGAGGGTAAGACTGGAATCCCTGCCTACGACTCTCTTTTCTTGTGCGTGCCACACACCAATAGTATTAAGGACTGAATGAACAAAGTTGAAAAGTCACTCCTTTGGTAGTACTCTAGAGACCCTCAGAAACATCTGGTGTTACGGCTGTCTGAGGGGATGACCAGGCAGAAATACAGTCATCGTGCCTTCCCTCCCCAAGCAGATGCATTTACTGTCACTACTTCCCACGTCTCCTCTCTGTGACTCTGCTCATCCTGGCACCTGACCCCTCAAGCTCCAGCGTCCTGACAAAGCAACCACGTGGCCCAGCCCTCCCAAGGCCAGGCCTCTGGCTCTGGACTGGTCTTGACCTGCTTCCCTTCAAAGCTGACCTGCTGTGTGCCCACGTCCTGTTCTCTGCACAGTGACCCCTGGCTAATCTGCTAAAACCCTCTGCTGAGGGTATACTTCGTGTGTGTGTGTGTGTGTATGTGTGTGTTTAAGATACATATGGGGTGGGGAGCTGACTGGTTAGCTCAGTAGGTTAGAGTGCAGCCTTATAATCACAAGGTCATGGGTTCAGATCCCTGTACCAGCCAGCAGCCAAAAGAAAAAAAAAGATATATGGGTGTGTATGTGTAAATGTGTGTATGAATATATGTGCAAATATATGCATGTATGTCGATATTTGTTTAAATGTACATGTATGTATGTATGTATATATGCATTACTTTCACAGGAGTTTTTAGGAAGCAAGTTAATGGAGAGATTCTACCGGCGAGATGATATTCGTGATATTTTGACATTCTGCATAGCCTTCCATTTTGCTCCTTTTGTCCCTGTGTTGACTACTTTCCTTAATTTCCAAACAATCCAGTCCACATCATAGCTTTCTAGAAATCTCTGAGCTCCAATTACAGAGCCAGTTTATTGGATGCTTTCCCGGGGTTGCTGGGAGAAATCCAAAGCAATAGAAGACACAGTTCTTATACTCCTAAAACTTAGTTGGGAAATAAAATGAGCTCAAATAAAATAATCAGACACCTCATGGCACTGATAGAAATAAGTATACAGAATTCAGAAAAAAGCACGGCAAATCCTGTGGGCTGGAATGGTTGGAACTGGAAAGGATAGACAGGGCTCAGAAAGGTAGAGAGGAGAATTTCAGAGGAAAGAAATCTCAGAGAAGGTTCTACTGATGCTGCGCGGGAGGCTCGCAGGGCTCCCCCTGGCTGCAGGCTTGGTTCTGAGAATTCTGCTTCTCTCCTGTGGAAGAAAAATCAGAGCTGTCTCAGGAACCCAGAGTGATGGTGGAGCTCATAGAATTAGTCAAGGGACTGGGGACAGAGGCCTGGGGTGTAACCACACCAGAGCACACTCGTAGCCCCTAAGCCATCACCTCCTGACAACAAAATTGTGATGGTGGAGCTCATAGAATTAGTCAAGGGACTGGGGACAGAGGCCTGGGGTGTAACCACCCCAGAGCACACTCGTAGCCCCTAAGCCATCACCTCCTGACAACAAAATCCTCTGTACGTAAAAGATCCCTTCCACAGACTTGACAGATAATGCTTTAACTTCCTTCGCCAGGGTAGGATAAAAGCACACACAGAGGGCCAAGTGCCGGAAGAACCAGGCTTTAAAATTGTACACGCACTTGGAAAAAATGCATCCCAGAATCAGGAGAGGGTCACCTGCTAAGCCTGAATAAAAAGCATTCTCATTTCTCTAATGACATCTTTGCTGTCTTCCTCTGGTATTTTTAAATCCATTCAAAGCACTACCTGATTTTAAGAAATAAAACAGAGATGCACTGGGCCTTTACTCTTTGTGACCAGGTGAGACTTCCCAAAACAGCAAAGCAGAATTTGCTCCGAGGTCCCCCTGCAGGGCTCCACCCATTATTTATTTACTCTTTCCTTCATTCATCCAACAAACATTGTGGACAGCATGCCATGCACCAGACACTCTACCAGGAGATCTTAAAAAATGAGAAAGTCACATCTGCCCTTGAGAAGTCTTCTGTCTACTGTAGGAAACTCAAACTATCCATCAGGTTATGAACGGATGCTGTACGGGAGGACGAGCACAGTGCGATGGAAACACCACCTCCATCTGTCTGAATGATCTTCGTATATTCCAAAATGATCTCATGGGACTCCATCTCCTGGGAAGACGTGTGTGAGAAGAGTGTGTATGTGGGGGGCTGGGTACACGGGCACGTCTCGGGAAGCTCTGGGGAGCTCTTCTTTTCCCCTGGTTGCTTGGCGTCAGCTCCCAGCCCCACCTGGTCATTCTTCTACCTATACCTGGAAGCCTGAAAACTCTACGTCACAAAGTCCTTATCCTTTTAGAACATTTTTTCTGGAAAATAACGATTTCTTGGGCCGGCCCGGTGGCACACTGCTACAGTGCGCTGCTTGAGAGCGCGGTGGCGCTCCCGCCGAGGGTTCGGATCCCACATACAGAGCGTCCGCTCACTGGCTGAGCGAGGTGCGGGCGCAGCACCGAGGGCTGCGATCCCATTGCCGGTCCTGGTCTGGTACGGGCGNTGCGATGGAAACACCACCTCCATCTGTCTGAATGATCTTCGTATATTCCAAAATGATCTCAGGGGACTCCATCTCCTGGGAAGACGTGTGTGAGAAGAGTGTGTATGTGGGGGGCTGGGTACATGGGCACATCTCGGGAAGCTCTGGGGAGCTCTTCTTTTCCCCTGGTTGCTTGGCGTCAGCTCCCAGCCCCACCTGGTCATTCTTCTACCTATACCTGGAAGCCTGAAAACTCTATGTCACAAAGTCCTTATCCTTTTAGAACATTTTTTCTGGAAAATAACAATTTTTTGGGCCGGCCCGGTGGCGCACTGCTACAGTGTGCCGCTTGGGAGCGCGGTGGCGCTCCCGCCGAGGGTTCGGATCCCACATACAGACCGGCTGCTCACTGGCTGAGCGAGGTGCGGGCGCGACACTGAGGGTTGCAATCCGTTGCCGGTCACGAAAAAAGACAAAAAGGAAAAAAAAAAAATTTCTTCTCCCCCATGATATTGTAACACAGAGCACTGAGACGGATTAAGATATAAGTTCATGGAAAGATTCACACTCTCTTTTTTTTTTTTCCTTTTTGTCTTTTTTACTGACTGGTAACGGGATCGCAACCCTCGGTGCTGCGCCCGCACCACGCTCAGCCAGTGAGCGGGAACCGGTCTCCACATGGGATCTGAACCCTCAGTGGGAGCGCCGCCATGCTCCCAAGTGGCGCACTCTCCAGTGCGCCACCAGGCTGGCCCTCACACTCTCTTTTAATCCCATTTTCCATGAACTTTTGAAGTACCCTCCTGTATTTTTAGTCAGAAAACATGCATCACAGTCATGTAAACATCTATATTTCTGTTTCCCACTGGGCCCAAGGCACTCGATGGTCCTCGAGTTCTGTTATTAATCTGTATGAGCTGCCCTGTGAGTGAGGCGCGTGACCACGACTCACACCCTCAGTGTACAGGTAGCGGAAACAGGTTATAGGACATGGCTGAGCTTTGGAGGCGGTGGAGCCTGGGGCTCATCTCAGCAGGTCACCCCACCAGCATAAGGATGCACCTGGGAGTCTTACAGATTTGCTCTAACTCTCTAGGACCCCACCACAAAGCAGAGTGGACTGTTCAACTTGAGTTCCTGATAGGAACCAGTCTGACATGGCTGGGCAGATCTGGTGGTCTGGGGACAGGCTGATCGGAGGCCTGTTTTGGAGAAGGGGTTGTACCCTTATGGAGAGAACTCATCCTGAGGTAGGTAGGGTTTCTCAGCCTCGGCACTGTTGACAGTCGGGACCTGCTAATTCCCTATTGTGGGAGGAGCTGGCCTGGGCACTGGAGGGTGTTTAGCAGCATCCCTGGCCTCTGCCAACTGGATGCCAGTAGCATCTCCCCTACCCCAGCTGTGACAACCAAATATGCCTCCCGACCTTGTCAGATGTCCCAGGGTGGGGGAGGAGAGGGTGCACAATTGCCTCACTTCTGAACCACCATCTTAAAAAAGAATCAGGTTCAGTAACAACACCTGATTTGCCAGAGGGATGGCGTGATTGTCAGAACAATGCACATCCCTGGGGTTTGTCCTGCTTTCCGCCCGGCTCTTGTGGACCAATGTGTGAGTCTTAGGGAGAGATGTACCTGCCAAAAAAAACCCCCCAAACCTGAAAGGCTTTCTTTACAGAAAATGAAATTATGAGCGGTGTTGGGACCTCAAGCCAGGACTTTTGGGGAATTCATGCAGGAGTGTTGGCGTGGTGGGGATGCCAGGGGTGGGTATGGCAGCAGCAGCAGCCACCAAGGCACTCGTGAGTGCCAACACCTTAGGCTGTCACCAGAGGTAGCAGGTTTGCTTGATGCAGCTGATGCCTGTGCAGAGTCAGTGGAGGCAGAACTTACATCTGGATCCATGCCAGACCTCCCTGAGGACACCCAGAAAGACTGTGAGGGGCAGACATTTAAGGAGCACCTCCATGTGCAATGCATTATTCTTGCTGGAGTAAGATTCACAAAGGATAA